AGCGTCTGACCTTGTGCTTTGTTAATGGTCATAGCAAAAGAAACTTTTATGGGGAATTGTTTTCTTACCATTTGGAAAGGCACAGTAGGATCAGAAGGTGTAAGGTTAATCTGGGGTATGAGCACAGTTTTATTGGAGTGAATAATTTTAGCAGTGATGATGTACTCGCCTAAGTGAGTTACCACTAACCTTGTACCATTAATTAATCCCTGTTTAGCGTTAAGATTTCTAATTAACATTATGACTGCACTTTTCTTCAAAATCAATTTATGAGGTGGTAAACCGGATGGATTCAAAGAGTTTAAGAATTATATGGGGTACAATTGAGCATTGTCTATTTCTTCATGTTGGACACAATCTGAACTGAAGTAAACCTTTTCCTCTCCAAGTAACAAATTGGAAATAATATATTCATTAATTTTTGTACAATCATTTTTTGGACATAAAATCGCCATTGAATAAAACTGCAAAACATTTTGTTCATTGATTTTTGTGGCATTGAATATGGTGGTAACAATACTATCATAATTACAATAACAATGTTTTGGGATTTTGATTGCTTCATTCTCATAATCTGTTTGAACTTCTAAATTACCATTACCCAATTTAAATAACCATTCAGTGAAAACAGGATCATCATTTGCCCTCATATTTTGAGTCAACTTATAAATTTTAACATGAGACCATAAGGGTGATCATTTAACTGTATTTTCAACAATGGCTGTTCTATTAGCATGTCTAACAATGGGTAACACCTGACAGAAATCTCCACCAAACAGAATTATTTTCCTTTCATAAGGAAGATTATTATTCATAATTTCCTTTAAAAGTTGATTGACAACGCTTAGTACATCTTTGGGAACCATTGAAATCTCATCCTGAATAATGAGATCTGAGTCACAAAGAAGTTGTGCATCCTCTATGTGAGTGCAAATTGATGAGGCTGATGTGTCCAAGATGGGTACAGGTAGTTTGAAAATTGAATGTGATGTGCATCCCCCTGATAGGAGATTGGCAGCAATGCCTGTCCATGCAACTGGTATATTAGCCTTGTTTTCACCTCATAAAATGTGGCACAATGTTTTGTAGACAAACGTTTTACCAGAGCCCCCTGGTCCATCAATGAAGTAACAATTCAGAATTTTATTTCTTACTGCATGTAAATCTTCCTCAGCTATTGCCTTCTGTTCTAGGTTTAACTTTTTATAAGCTGCCTTGCCATTTGTACTTTCTTCTTCTATGCTGTAGGCTTCTTCTGTTGTATGTTGTGTGATGGTTAGGACAGGAGTCAGCAGTTTGAATTGTTTGCAAGATCTACCATGATATTTAAAAATATTTTCCAATTCTTGCAGTGTGAGGTTGTAAGCTTCAGGTGGTGTGTGCTGGCTCTGAAAATCTTCTGAAAGTGCGTCCTGAAATTTTGTCCACAACTTGGGTATATTAGCAGGAGAACAGAATATGCAGATGATAGTGAAAAGCCATCTCAATTGCGTTGGCATTTTGTGACTGACAGCCTCCTGCAAAAATTCTTTCCATTCAGCATCGTTAATGACTAAATTTAATTTTTCTGCAGCTTCTTGAAATGAGTTGCACAGAATTCCATCAACTTTACATAAATCATCAAATGACTGCAGTCCTTTGATGTGCAGAAGTAGTACATGGAGGTAATATTTTTGATGTCAACTGGATTAACAGTGTAGATCTGTCCAAAGCACTTTGTATTTTTTATGAATATTCCATTTTCCATTTGACCACACAAAATGTTCTGGAATTTTGTGGTAAAGGTAATTGCAGCCAGCAATATTTTCATTGCACAATTTAAAAAATGCCATGAGTTTGGAGACTCTATCACAGTTAGCATCAGCTTCAAATCTGGCCTGAAAGTACACCATTTGTTCTTCTGGTAAGTGAACAGGAAGTCACTCAATTGTATGAGATTGGTGGAAAAGTTGGCATTCATGTAATTGCCACATAGCCTCTGGTGGGCTCACATAATGAAAGTTCAAATAGATGTCCAATTCATCAACAATGGGTTGTTGTTGACCTTCAGAATCTGAATGTAATTGTAAAGCTGCGCAGTCATGTCCTTTATACATATTTGTACAAATATTTAACAGATTTGATTGAAGAACAATGCTTGAGATTGATATGGGAATAATATTTTCTACTGAGAAATCTACAATATGGTACAACCCACCTATTATCAATAGTAAATGATCAAACTGTCATTGTAGCACCATTATCACATTGTCTATACATAGGGTAACCATTGACATTTAAATTTGTTTCTTCTTGAAAATCTTTTGGATAATTTTTAATATATTTTTGTTCTTGCATGCATGGACTGTTTGGATTGATCATACCACAAGGTCTGTGTACCATGCATTCTTGAATAACTTCAAAAAGTTGAGGATCTGTTTCCTTATCTGGAATTTCTGCACAAATTAATGAGTCTACATCTTCAACTGAACATAATTTATCTTCATTAGACAAAATGAGCAGCATGCGTGCATGGGGAAGGCCTCTTTTTTGAAATTCAATTACACAAACATAACCAATGACTACGCCTAGTACATGTTTTTTAGAATATCATCTAATAACGCTTGCAATTTTAAATGAAAAACTCTAGACACTAAGTCAGGTCTGTGTTCAACTCTTTCATATGGTTTCAATTGAGAGGTAATTTCAATTCACTTGGGGTTGCAAGTAATTGTAAGGAATAGATCAGGCTTTCCTAGATGGGCAACAATAGCCATTGCGTCTTGATAATTTTGAAGCATATTTTGAGGACTGCCAATATAAGATGAAGGAAGAGCAACTGTAATTCCATCAACTGCTCCTCTTTGTTCAGCATCAGAGTTAAGAAAGTTCATCAAACCTTTGTAACTATCAGCTCTGAGTTCTTGTTGATGGGGTCAATGAATGCCAACCTGGAACCTTCTACTTTGACATAACTGTCAACAATGTATTGTTAAAATAATTTACCAGAAGCATGAAGTAAACTGAAACCATCACTAACTGATAAATATAGCAATAGTATTGTAATTGAGTTGTGACTGTTCTCAATGCAGTACAATTAACTTGAACATGTGGCTGACCAACAGTCCATCCAGAATCACCACATGGGAAAAGCAATGGATAGCACATTGGATCAGAATGGGGGTTCAGGTAAGATATTTTAGTAAGTGCACCAGTTGTTTTAGAATACATAACAAAATCAACATTGTTTGGTGAAGTTCTGTCATTGGTGACAAAAACAGCAGCCACCTCACTGACTGCAGGTTCATTTGATCTTCCAGGATGAAATGCATTGGTAGTCATAAATTCTAGGGGCAAATCTAGTATAGTTTGATCCAAATCTTTTATATATTTAAACTGTGCATAAAGATTATGTGTATCGAGCATTGTTTGCAATGTAACCATTATTTCTTTGCAACAGTTCTTATTAGCTTCATTCACTACACAATGTTGTAATGCAGTATCAAAATCTACAACAAAAAGGCCAGTGTAAGATGGTGCAACTCCTGCAGGAGGTTGTAAACTTTCTACCATATGATACACCTGCCCATGTAATTTAAAACAACATGGACCCCTGCCAGGAATGTCAACCAATTTGATGTGAATTGAAGCAAATGCCAGAGCATTGTTGAATTGCCTAATATTTTCTAGGTAATTCTTGGTGAAGTCATCATTTTGCTCTATGAGGCTTTGAAGTTCTTCACAAACTTTAATGGGCTCTAACTTAACCTTTCCCTTGTGGCAACACATGGTAGCTGAATCATCACTAAACTCCCCTGCAAACAACCTTGCAGAGCAGTAAACGCACTTTTTATCCATATCACCAACACTATGTGTTTGCACTTCATTGTCTTTAGGGAAAAGGTGGGAAGTACAATATGTTTTTGGAAGTTTATATAGTCTTCTTCTTGTACTGATATTTTGATAGAGATGAAGTAAATAAGTTGACACAAAGTTGTTAACTTGCACTAATTGTTGTCATTGAGTATTGAATGTGTCTTGTCTGTGTTGGCACTGAGCTTCTCATTTTTGCTGAAGTCAAAGTTGTCTTTTTTTCTCACTTTTGGTATTTCTTCTTCTGAGTTCTGTGACATGTTCTAATGGTCTGGAACGTCTTCCAGGAGGTCTTCCTCTTGGTCTGCCTGGCATTATGAAAACCTAAATCACAAATTTGTTTACATAAGTTTTCATTAAAATGAGAGCTATACTTAGTGAATGAAAAAATGATGATACCCAGTGAACACATTATATAAATGTGATATCAATATGATATAAAATCAGCATTTTTACATCATTATCATGTCATATGATGTCATGTGTTCACCGGGTATGTATCATCACTTCAGGTAATAGGATTCCTTATATGACTATCCTGTGGATAGTACTTAATTAATAAAAATAGATTATTGCAAATAACAAATGATGACAAACTGGCAAAAACATAACATAACAAAAATAAAATTTAATTTTTTATTAATAAACTAATTTTGAAGTTGTAAAAAAATATTAATAAAAAATTAGTAAATATACAAATATTGTGAAAAATATTTCAAAATAAAAATTTATTCTTTGTAATTCAGATGCAATAAATTTTATAATTAATTAATTTCTTGTTTCAATTTGATTGACACGTTGTTTATACGTTATTTATACGTTTATTCTATTCTATTCAGAGATTTCAGCGCCACCACGACACTTTATATTATGGCAACTGTTAAAATAAACAGATTGCCACCAGATGGCGACCCTTGTTTTTTTTAAAAATGTAATTTTTTAAATGAAATTTTTTTAAATGTAAGTTTTAAAATGTAATTTTTTAACGAAAATATTAATTTTAAGATATTTACTTATTTTTCGGCATTAGAGGGAAAAATAATCTTCAAAATGGCGTATCAGACATTAATTTTGATACAGTATTAAGGGAGATATTTCACACCGACAAAAAAACACCTTTGAGAAATAATATATAGAGATTATATTAAGCGCTTGTAGTATAGAGGTAGAATACTTCTCTTCCAAAGAAGTGGCCTGGGTTCGATTCCCAGCAGGCGCATTTCAATTTTATTGAACATACACAATTAGAAAAGTAAAATAAATTAACAAAAATTTGAAATTTTTTACATTTTATTTTTTATAGTGGTTAGCCTGGTAGGGTAATTCCTGCTTCCACTCTAGTTCAGGTTTTTTTCAATAACAAGTTCAAAACCAGTACTGGTTAGAAAAATTCTCGGTGTGGTATATTTGTCCCAAGGTTAACCACCTGAAATACTTTTCTAATATCTGATATGCTTATATTGCACCTATAGTTTCTGTATAAAAATGTACTATAGTCTATAAGAAAGGTGTTATATTCTAAATATTATGTCTTGCATATATCAGAGGCTACATTTGCCTTTTTAGAATCTTGATCTGTGTTGCAGATATTTAGTTAAGTTTTATCTGTGTTACATAAGTGCAGATATATTAAGCTTAAGTCAACCCTGATTTAACTTTGGTATCTTGAGTTAAATATCTATTTCTATTTGATATATATTTCTTGCGGGGCAATCCAATAGCAAATAATTTTCCAACTTATTGCTAACTTGTAAATGAGAAATAAAATCTAGTAAAGAATGAGTGATAATTATAATATGTATATAAATTACATTGCTTAAATATATATGCTTTAATACCTGTAATTTGATTACATTTATAATAATAAAAATATTCTATTTTTTACAAAAATAGTTAGTCTATAAACTTTATTAAGATGAAACCTCTTCAAAATTAAATCTTTTGTGGTTTGGGTCATTTAGTGTTAAAAAACCATTATCTCAGCATATAAGTTTTTAAATGAACTTTATATTGGTAATCAATAGTATTATATCACCCGTTGTAGTTATTACATATTTTAAAAACTACTACCTCATATTGACAACAAGAATCTGATACCACAATAATTAATATGTATAATTTAACTTTTAAAACAATTTAATAAAATAAGGATGATGTGATGGACAGGGTCCCTGAACACTGATACAAAGCAGTTGGGCAAGGGGCCCCAGATAAGTGCCCACAAACAGGATAACACTGCTGTGGTAATCTCCCCAATCCGCATGTTTAAAAATTTATGACTATGAATTTAAACAGCAGTTAGAACTATGCTAGCACCAAGCAAGAGGGTCTGCCCTTCAGAAAGAGCATACAAAAACACTGTTGTATTTAAGGGATTTTTAAGCTCACTGGTGCATTTGAGGACTAATAATTCAACAAATAGAGAATGTAAACCAGTGATTATAATAAAGATAAATAAATAATAGAAACTAGAAATTTGAGTTTTATATAGTTTTATTAGTGTTGCAGGGGTAAGAAATGAACCCTCTTAATAAATTCAATACTTAGTATTTAAAGTGTTGAGGCTCAAAGTTCAAATTACTTAGTAAATTCTGAATTAGGTAATATGGGAAGTGGGCCTATCAGATCAATCAAAACTCGCATTACTTCAGGAAATGACTGATGGAGGGAAATGAAAGGCAATTTAGATCTATGAGGTATTGTTTTGATTAATTTTCCCAATCATTTGATGGGAAATTTCTGCACTTGTTTGGACCCCCTCCAACCCTAGAAAAAGGGGCCAGTCTCCGCAGTGTAGTCTGTACCAAGTTAACAGTGGCCTGGGGAGGATCCTCCGATGGTCTTCCCATATTAGGCTGATGATTTGGGAAATCTGACCACCCAAACTTGTAGGGTTTTGCTGAGTATTATGATTATTTTTGTTGCCCCAATTCAATGGGTTCCATTGGAAATTAGCCCAGGTTTTTTTTGGCTGATTTCATCCTTATTTTTGTCCATAATATTAACTGAATCACTCTTAATACACAATTGGACTTGTAATTGTCTGACATTACCCCCTTCAATAGTGTTAGGGGAAGAGTAAAGGTATAAGGATTGGCCATGAACATGGTTCACAGTAACTCCAGTAACCAGGGATTTGATAAAGTACTCATCCCCTTGCTTATAAGTGATTAAAATGGGCTTTCCAGATAGAATTGAGATTTTCACTTCTTGGAGTGATTCATTTGTGGTGATACAGTACCAAGTCAGATGTTTGGAGTAAAGGAAGAGGGGCCCTGAGCTCATTTGCATCTTTGACTTCTTGAGCAGCAGTCTTTGCTAAATTAGTCATGGCATCTGATTTTAATTAGATGGTGTGTTGGGCCAACTTTTTCATGGCTTGTTCAGGATCAGTCCTGTTAAAGAAAATATCCTTGACTAATAATGCTGGCACCCCAGGTTCTCACCCATATAACCCACAGAAAGGGGACATCTTGAGGATGCAATGGTAGCTAACATGGTAGGCCATGAGGGCACTGGGAAAGTAAAGATCCCAGTGGAGAGGGACTGAAGTGGCCATTTTTCATAAAAATCAAGACCAGCGTTCCATTAACTCTTTCCACCGCACCATTTGTGGATGGGTTATAGGGGGCTGAGAAGAGTTGTTGAGCTCCCATGGAAGTGCCAAGGAGCTTTACCACCCATGAGGTAAAATTTTTCCCATTGTCACATAGGAGGACCTGAGGGCATCCATGCCAGATGAAGATGAACTGGTGTAAGAAGGTAGCCATAGTTTTAGAAGTCTGAGTAGGAAGAGCCTCAGCTTCAACTAACTTGGCGAATGATCAATAATGACCAAGATATAGCAATTCCCATCTGTAGTTTGAGGTAGAGGACCTACCACATCCAAATTTATGGTGTGGAAAGGTTGTTGTGGCATCATAGGTTAATACTGATATTGGATCTTGAAGCTGGTTTGTTTTTTACAAGTCAGGAATGCATCCAAGACTCCAGTTATAGTTTCCATGATGCCCTCCAAGTAGTACCACTCTTTTACCCATCCGTAGGTTTTGTGTACTCCGCCATGCCCCATAATAGTGTGAGACTCTAAGATAACATGTACTCGCTCAGATGGCCAGAGATAGGGTACCCAATATACTCCTACTTTCTAATATAATTTCCCATTATCTACCTTTGTGTCATGGGAATTCATGCTAGCATCTTCTGTACTGGTTCATCTTCATCAGCCCACACGTCAGGAGTCATTAGGAGGTCATGCAACCTCTTGGCTTCGCTATTATCAAGGTGAATGACAGACAGCTGCGTTAGCCCATCAACGTTCATTTGGCGTGTCCCATATTGGTGCTCAATGGTCATATCATAATGCTGGAGCTTAAGAGCCCAGTAAGCCAACCGCTCAGTGGGATCTTTTATATTCTGTAACCACTTCAATGAGGCGTGGTCAGTAATTCCTTTAAGTGATGTCCCATATAGAAAAGGGCGATAGTATTTGACTGCAAATAAGACAGCAAGGCACCCCTTTTCAGTGATGCTGTAGTTGCGCTCAGCTTTTGAGAGTATCTTGTTGAGGTAAGATATGGGATGATCGACCCCATTTTCATCCAGCTGAGCCAAGATAGCTCCAACGGCATAATCAGAGGCATCTGTGAACAACATGAAAGGATTGCCATAGTCAGGGTGGTGGAGTATTGGCCTTTTTTGCTATAGAGAGTTCAGGGTCTCAAAGCGGCCTTTTGTTCAGCACCCCAATAGAAGGGTGTGTTCTTAGCCAAGAGGTTTACGAGGGGCTCACTAAGCTGGGCGAACTTGGTGATGAACTGATGGTAATATCAAATCATGCCCAAAAATACTGGATGTCATGAAGGATTTTGGGTGTGAGCATCTTAGATATTGCTTCAACTTTATCTTGCAGAGGTTATACCCCATCTTGGGAGATGTCATACCCAAGAAAATCCAACATCTTTTTAAAGAAAGTACATATAAAGGGCTTCAGCTTTATGTTGGATGCCCACAAGCGTTAAAAACCGCCTTTAGGTTATGAGATGCTCATTGAATGTCTTGGAGAAGACTGTGATGTCATCAAGGTAGACTATCACACAGCTTAGCTTAAAGTCTTGGATAATTTGATCCATTGCTCACTGAATTTTGTAGCAGGAACATTACACAACCACTGAGGTAGCCAAGTGAGTTGAAAAAAGCCTCACTGCAGATAAGGGAGCACTTCTCCTGATCCTGTGGAAAAAGGGCCATCTGCCAATACCCACTAGCCAAGTCCAAGGCGGAGAAGTATTTGACCCAAAGAGTTGGGCCAGAGCGTCATCAATACAGGGGAATGGGTAACTGTCCTTCAATGTGAGGTTGTTCAGTTTGCAATAGTCCATCACTATTGATGACCTACATCTTTATTTTTTATCAATAGGAGTGGGGATGACCAAGGGCTTTGGGAATGCACCAAGAACCCATCTCCATAAGCTGTTTGAGCTCCATCCACATCTGTAGCTCCTCAACTTTGGATTTTCTGTAAAGTTTGGAGCGGATAGGCTGAGCATCACCCACATTAATGGTATGAGTCCAACCTTTCATGTGCCCATAGTTGGTGTTAGAGGTAGAGAAGATGTCGCATTATGACTTCAGTAAGGTGTGGGTCTTGTCAAGCTCAGATGGGGTTAGTTCATCAAACATATGAACATTAGGAAGAGTGCATAGTGATTGGTCTGCTGGTAAACCCATATCAGTTATAGATCCAATAAAGTGAACTTGTTTTATTTCTTCAAGGGGAATCAGCATACCCTTTCTGATCTCTTAATGCTGTTTTACAATCATATCCTTATTGGTGAGATTTCCCAGCAGAAGGTTAGTAGTTCATTGATAGGAAGGGTCTATCACGTCAAGAAAAACTCTGATCTCCAAAGGACTAACTTCATCAATGCTAGTTAGGTGCAATAAGAAGTTTTGGGGGATTTGTAGGGTAATATTAGTATCAACTATTTGTTCAATCACTTTAATTACTACCTCTTCAGAGGAATAGAAATAAATACCTCTAGGGCTCCACTGATGGAGGCAACATTTTTATGCCGTCCTGTCATGGTGTAATGTAGGGATAGAGCGGAAGAGGGATACTCAACTGTGCAAACATAATCCTTTTATTAAGCTCTTCATTTGTCAAAATCAGAGGAACCTTATAGTAAGCAAGGAAAGATAGCCCTGCTTTAAGATAAT